AGGTACATGCCCTTGACCGGAATCGAACCCGGGACCCTTCAGTCCGCAGGCCGACGCTCTATCCACTGAACCAAACCGGTTAGGCTGCCTGGGTTTTCTAATTGGAAGGTAGAGAGAGAGGAGGCAGGGATGGCATGGACATGTGGTTTAGCCCTAACCGGTGTGGCTCAGTGGATAGAGCGTCAGCCTGCAGACTGAAGGGTCCCGGGTTCGATTCCAATCAAGGGCATGTACTTTGGTTGCGGGCACATCCCCAGCAGGGGGTGTGCAGGAGGCAGCTGATGGTTGTTTCTCATCAATATTTCTAACTCTCTATCCTTCTCCCTTCCTCTCTGTAAAAAATCTATAAAATATATTTAAAAAAAAAAAGAATTGTGGGTTTAGCTCAGCCGTGGGCAAACTCCTTCAGTCCGCAGGCCGACGCTCTATCCACTGAACCAAACCGGTTAGGCTGCCTGGGTTTTCTAATTGGAAGGTAGAGAGAGAGGAGGCAGGGATGGCATGGACATGTGGTTTAGCCCTAACCGGTGTGGCTCAGTGGATAGAGCGTCAGCCTGCAGACTGAAGGGTCCCGGGTTCGATTCCGATCAAGGGCATGTACTTTGGTTGCGGGCACATCCCCAGCAGGGGGTGTGCAGGAGGCAGCTGATGGTTGTTTCTCATCAATATTTCTAACTCTCTATCCTTCTCCCTTCCTCTCTGTAAAAAATCTATAAAATATATTTAAAAAAAAAAAGAATTGTGGGTTTAGCTCAGCCGTGGGCAAACTATTGCCCGTTTGAAATGAATAAAACTAAAAAAAAAAAGACCGTACCCTTTTATGTAATGATGTTTACTTTGAATTTATATTAGTTCACACAAACACTCCATCCATGCTTTTGTTCCGGCCCTCCGATCCATTTTAAGAACCCATTGTGGCCCTGGAGTCAAAAAGTTTGCCCACCCCTGGTTTAGCTCCTGGAGGAATGGGATCACTGTACACTGAGACGGGGAAGCCCGTAGCAGTGAGGGCGATGTTCATTGAGGAAATCAGGGATTTATTTCTGGCCCGTGAGGAGCGAGATGCTTGCGAGCAGCTCCTGGGCGTCTGGAACTGGAGGAGGCGTTCAGGGTGGAGACTCCCCAGAAGGGAGTGGAGGTGCCTGGACCGGGAGGAGCTGCAGCTCCCTTTGTACGAGGAATCCTGGTCGGGAGGATGGTGGTGGCAGCAGCTCAGGAAGAGGAGGCTGAGCCCGAGGCCCGGGCTTCCTGTGCGGGCCTCCGATTGTGGGAAGTGGGTGTCACACAGGTTACAGACGAGGCGGCCATGTGGAGAGGGGGGCAGGGAGACTCCGGTTGGGTAGAGGTCACGGCCTCCGAGGGGTGAGTGGCCATGAGATGGATGGAGGCAGAGCAGCAGCTCACACAGGGTGTCGGGGGCTGGTCCGCAGTCACGGCCCTGGAGCCTCACCAGGACGATGCTGTGCCCCTTGGTGTGGTGGGGAGCGGCACGCGGCCGGCACGATAGCCCAGCTGCACACGGGTCATTGGGAGACTCACTGGGCACAGGCTAGAGGGCCCCTGGGGCTGGGCCTGGGTGGGGTGAGGAGAGGGAAGCTGTGACTGTGAAGGGACATGAGGTGCAGCACCAGTGGGGGAGGCTGTGGGCACCTGAGAGCCCATGTGACGTGGGAACAAGGAACCGTCAGGAGGGAGGCCCTCGGGGCAGGACTCCGGCCGCCTCTGTGATGTGGACCATCAGAGCCCGGGCAGTGCTCGATCCCCTTAGAATTTTCCAAACGTTCTCCGGACCCCATCTGCTGAGCAGTGAAGAGAGAGGCCAAGGAGATGATGTGGTGCCGCACAGGAGGGGCCGGGCGGTGGGCGTGCAGGCGGGAGAGGTGTGGTCGGGACAGTGATGTGCGCGTGGAGAGGGCGTGTGAGCTCATGGCCACAGGGCCCTGGCATTGACATGAGAGTGAATGAAGGGCGAGCCCATGTCTGTTGTATCTGGTGGAAACGTGATGTGGCTCCCCGGGGAGTTGCCTGGAAGGAGGGGGTGTTGTGGTCCTCCATGCCAGGCCCGGAGCTTCGATGTCATTTATGTCCCTTCCTGCCTGTTGCTGAGGCGGATACAGTGATGTACGGGGCCTCAGTGAGATAGCGGACCTCAGTGCCGCCCAGACTGCACTCCCCCCGCTTGCTGGGGACGGGAGTGGGGAGCAGGGAGTGGGGAGCAGGGGTAGGTGAGGCAGGCGGTTAGTTAGTATCATGAGAGCGAGGCTGACCAGGAACACGCTGTCCGTCCCGCCGGCTGCGCCCCCTTTGCAGCTGTGCTCCGGGCGTGCAGCTGTGTGCGCGAGTGAGGTTCAGGGAGTTGTGTGCGGAGCTGGGGTTGCCTCAGCGCCTGCGAACGGTCCTCAGCATGGAGGTGGGGCCGCGTGTTCTGTTCCCTGGAGGGACCGTGTGCAGGATCACAGGGCAGCCTGACACGACGACGAGTGTCTGATCGCTCAGTCCTTCTCCGGCCAGCTTGTCCCCTGCCCCGTGTTGGTGGCACCGCTGTGTTAACAAGGGGCAGGTGGCCTCAGCGCGGGCGTCCTCTCTCTGCCCATCTCCCTGTGGCTGTGGGAAGACGGAGTCAGCGGGGACCTAAGGGGAGGGTGACTTCGATGGGACCAAGGCCTGCTGTCTCCTCAGAGGTGGGAGGGCGCAGATGAACGGAGACGCCGGGTCGGGTGAACGTACACCCTAGGAGAGAAGCTGATGGCGGCGTGAACTGTGCTTATTGTGACAGGATATGAGCTTTGAGGACGTGACCATCGCCTTCTCCCAGGAGGAGTGGGGGCTCCTGGATGCGGCGGAGAGGCTCCTGTACTGCGAGGTGATGCTGGAGATCTGTACACTCGTGGCCTCCGTGGGTAAGACCCTCCTGCTCTTCCTAGCGTCCGAGGTGGTAACCTGCCTTCCCTTTGCTCCAGCAATGGCCGTGTCAGTCCCACAACCAGACCGCAGGTTCTAATCACCCCCAGTCTCTGGTCACATGTGCCGGTGCTGAGCTGTGGCGGGCCCTGCCCCAGGGGCACCCCAGCAGCCCTAACCCCTGTTGCCTCAGCAAGTGCGGGGAGAGTCTGGGAGTCGGGAGCCTTGCCGACAGCGTAGTGCGCCCACCTCTGCACCCCCCCCCTCCCTGCAGGGCGACTGCGTCCACATCTGTGGCCTCCCTTTCTGCCCCTTCCTCTAGCCTAGAGCTCTCTGCGGCTTCCTGTACCAGGTCATGGTCATCACTCACAGGAACCAGGGGCTGTCCTTGTGAGATCCACCGTCAGGTTTTTGTAATGTTGTCTCCCCTGGATGCTAATGTCTGCCGGGGTGCTCCTGGCCTGTGCTGGCTGCTCACCCCTGTTGTCCCTCATTCAGACTCGGTCACTGAGCGTAGGTACAGTGGAAGGTGCCGGGGAGCCCTGACTTTTTCACAGGGCGCACATGTCAGGGTGGCCTCAGAGGACGGCTCCCCTGGTGAGGGGCGACCGGGCCAGAGCGTGGCACAGGGCAGTGTTCAGGCCCTGCCCGCTTCTACCCTGTTTCCAATCGTGTGCTGGTGCCTGTGCCACTGGCCGCACGGGTACTTGGCACTTGGCTGTCTTGTCATCTTACCTGTGATCTCCCAGCCACCTCCCCTCTGAGGCCTCTGCCATCACCTGCTCCCTCTTCTTTATTCTCCAGTGTCGACCTGCGCATGTGCTGTGAGCTGCGCACACGTCCTTCACTAGTGTGTGGGCGCCAGGCCACTCGTGTTGAGTTTGATTGGCCCGTGTCACCAGCCAGCAAGCCTCGCTGGAAGCTGTTAGCGGAAGGAAGGTCTGGAAGGCCTCCTCCTCTCCCGTGTGGTGCATGCCCTCTGTGGGGTTTTCTGGCGAGGTCTCCCCTATTCTCTGATCTTCAGAGGCCAGCAGCTCGATCTGCAGCCTGCCTCCAGGCTCTTACTGTCCAACAGCCCCCTGAAACCGGCGATGCAGCCTGAGAAGCCGCGGTGACAGGGCTGGCCCCGGCCGCCCGCGCCGGCATCCCTCTCCTCTGCGTCTCTCTGCTTCCAGGTTACTGGCACAAACCGGCGGACGAGGAGGCCCCTTGTGAGCAGATCGCGTCTGCGGACCCGGAGCCGCAGGTCAGTGCGTCCGAGCCGGCGCCGGCCGCTGAGAAGACACATTCCTGTGAGCAGTGTGTCTTAGTCCTGAAGGCGATTTTCCACCTGACCGAGGTCCAGGCGGGGAACCCGGAGCAGAGAGCCTTCTTCAGTGACGCGTGCGCGAGGGGCTTCTGCTTCAGGGCCAACATCCACCAGCAGCAGAGGGAAGCCCGCGCCCAGGAGCCCTGGACGGGGGGCGTGGACAGGGCCTCGCTCATGACCAGTAACAGCTTCTATGTGTCGGGGGCGCCGTTCGCCGCTGGGGAGGCGGAGGGGGAC